CACTTCAGTGACTAACAGCGAGAACAGAGGCTGACTCACCCGGTGAAAACCAGACACAGTAAGGTGCAGATGAGGATGAACACCTGGTTAAACATGGCAGAGTGGGTCCTTTGAATGGCACGATGGAAATCATTCTGGACACAAGAAAAGAGGTTTTTAAATGGGCAGATCTACTCTCCTGTGCAAAAACCGTTTAATGCATTAGTCATACCGCTGTCTGAGAAATACGACACATTTTCCACTTGTGATAGCAAAAACAAACAATTTCTCAAGGACAAGTGGACCAAAATATATTTGCAAAACAAAGTATTAAAAGGGCATCTGCATCACACGAACAAATTCCTTCCAAACCAAATTAAAATCATTTCATTTAATTAATCAAAGCTCAGATCTCTTACGTAACTGTAGTCCATTATTTTACTAACACACAAACTACACCAAAACGAGTGCCCTTTCCTCTTTGGAAGAATTTTTTTATACTCCTATATTAGCATACTGTCCATCTTCCAACGTGGCAGCTCACGACTCATTTTCACTTGCACCTTGTTAGCATGTTCTGCCTGCCACCACCCCCCTGGCCACAGATTCAACCATCTGCCACCTACCGTTCTTGGCATGTAGCTCCTACTCTGTCTCATCTGAATCACAGCGAGAGCACACACTGCACCAGGTGGATCCAATGGAATTGCTTTGAATTTCATGTACCTGTTAAACCCTTCTGGGCAACGCTAATACTACAACACCAGATTTCTGTGAACTCTGTGTTTTATTAAGCTTCGCCGTGCCCACACTTGTACTTTTTGCTTTGGCTCGACTTGCTCTTGATATTGGGTAGTACTGCTTTACTTGCAACTTTAAACAATATACACTCATTATCCAGTTTGTTAGGTACACCTTGCTTGTACTGGATTGAAACCCTCAGAACTACCTTTATTCTTTACGAAATAGATTCCACAATGTGTTTGAAATATTCCTCAGAGATTTTTGTCCATCATGACACGATGGCAACTCACAGTTGCTGCAGATTTGTTGGCTCCACATCCATGACGGCAATCTCTGGGAACTATGGAGGCCATTTGAGTACAATGAGCTTATTGTGATGTTCAAGAAACCAGTTGGAGATTATTTGAGCTTTGTGACATGGTGTGGTATCCTGCTGGAAACAGCCATAGGAAGATGGGTATATGGTAGTCATAAAGAAATCACGTGATGAGCAATAGGTGATAAGGGGCCCAAAGTGTGCAAAAAAGTCTTTCCCACACCATTACACCACCAGCAGCAGCTTGAACCACTAATATTGACACTCAGACTTAGTAATGTTTCTTCCAGTCTTCTTTTACTCAGTTTTGTAGCTTCAGCAGCCTCAGTTCCCTCGGTGTGGCACCTGGTGCGGTTTTCGGCTGCAGTAGCTTGTCTTCTTCAAAGTTAGTTTTGCTCAAAGATGCTCTTCTGCATCCGTTGGTTGTAGCAAGTGGCTGATTGAGTTACTGCTGCCTTACTAACTGCTCAAGCAGTCTGATAATTCTCCTATGACTTCTGGTATCAACAGGGCATTTACACCCTGAGCACTAATGCTCACTGGATATTTTCACTTTTTTGGACTATTTTCTGTAAACTGTAGAGGCGGTTGTTTGGGAAAATCCTAGTAGATCAGCAGTTTCTGAAATACTTCAGCTTCTCTGACACCAAAAACTCAACATTCAAAAATCACTAACATTAACTTTTTTACCCTTTTTGATGCTTGGTTTGACCTTCAGCAGGTCATCTTGACCATGTCTATATGCTTAGGTGCATTCAGTTACCTACCCTGTGTGATTGGCTGATTAGAAATTTGTATAAATGAGAAAGTGAACAGGTATTTCTAATAAAGTGGACCAATGAGTGTAGGGCCAAAATAACTGCTGTTCACTAGCCTCAAGAACATGCAGTCAATTCCAAAAGAAAGAAAAAGTGCTTGCTTCTTCCTTATGCAAGCTTCTGGTGAGAAAACACAGTATGTGTGAAAGCCTACTGCAGCGTGAATATGAAAGTCTGCTGTTTGATTAAAAAAAACATGTGTTTTGTTTTCTCCTAAATACATCAGCTGAACATGAATAACATGGCTAGAGTGAGCTTTGTAGCCAGCTAATTAGACAGCAGGCTAATTTATCAAAGTAACCATTGTTACTGCTAATAATGTTACACAGATAAATGTAGCTTCAAAAAGATATGTTGTTTTGTGCACATATCAGTGTCGACAAAAAGAGAGCGCCAGCTAACCAGAAAGAAATGAATTAGCCTAGTCGATTAAATTCTGTTTTGTTACATTGTATCAACCCACTGAGCACTTACACAATGTTACTCATGAGCTCTAATATGGCTGCTAGAGGCCAGCTAATTTAACCTCAAAGCCCATAGTAATAAAGAAAACATACAGTTTTGTTTATTCTCTCTAGTACAATAAAGCTTGTAAAATGTGTGTAAGATGCAACACACGCTTTATTTACAATGGCAAACAACTTACAATCATATTCTCCAGAGCACCTTTGGCTAGCCAGCAGTTAAGAAACACAGGGACGAATATGTCTCTTAATCGATGCCAGAAAATCTTAAAGAAGAAAAGAAAGAGACAGGGTGAAAATATACAGTATATTAGTAAAGCGATATTTAGTTAACATACCTCATATATAACATGACGTTACAATCCACAATACAAATAATAAAGAAATTTAAATGCATTAGGTAGTTTCTCATTAAATTCAAAATTGTACATATCTGATATTTGAAGATCTTGTTTTGTGGACAAGGCGAACTGATTAAGTTACTCACTGTGATTATAAATGGCACTGTGTTGATCATTTCCAGTATGAAGGAAATCTGGAAGATCTGCTCCCAAATGTTTCCCTAGAAAGGAAATTAATGGGAAACAATTTAATGAATGTGCTGCAGGGGTCTGCCTTCGGTAGATGGAGAACATCAACATAAAACAACACCATGTAGGATAAACAACAACAACTTTCTGTGCTAATGTCTAAAATCTTTGTTGAGAGGAGATGGTTCTTTGAAATTAACAATTTTAGTGTCAGTATCTGAATATAACACCTGACTTTGTGCTTAAAGCATTCA